CTCTCAAGCTCGATCGACGGAGATCCTCGATCCGCCTCACAACATCGGAGATCGTGGGCCGTTGATCCGGATACTGAGCCGTACAGTCAATCCCGAGCTGCAGCATCTCCACCATCTCCTCCTCCATATTGGGGTCCCGCAAAAGCTCGAGGTCAAACACCTCGGCGGTCCACTCCTCTCTCACCACAGACTGGACCCACCTCGGAAGGTCAACTCCTTCCTCATTCAAGATCGCGTGTGTCGGCGCTTTGCCCGTGAGAAGCTCCAACAGCAAAACGCCGAAGCTGTACACGTCGGCCTTTTGGGAAACCCTGCGAGGGTCGGTCACCTCCGGTGCGCGATAGCCCGCCACCCGTGTCGGGGAGGAGGGTGGGCCCACGAGGTGGTTGAGTCCGAAATCGGAGACTTTCGGGGAGTTGGATTTTGTGAGGAGGATGTTTGATGATTTAATGTTGCCGTGCGAGAAGTGGGGCCCGTTTTGGAGGTGGAGGTATTCGATTCCGCGGGCGGATCCGAGGGCGATTTCGGAACGGAGTTCCCAGTTCAATGGGGTTCTTCCGGCACCTTTGTTGCCTGTGGAAATTAATCAAATCAAGAAAATTTGTTTCATAATCAAGAAAATCTAGAAAAAGCAACCAAACTAATATAATAGATAAAGAAAATGTAAAATCTCGGATAGATTATGCATTAATCGCACCAAATACTACCTAAGCAATTTTGATTCTTTTTTTTTCGAAGCTAAATCGGAGCAACAAACAATATGTCGAAAATCTAATTGTCACTCTATTAATAGAGATAAAAACAAGAATAAAGATAGCAAATATACATCAAATCAAGAAAATTTATTTCCTAATTATTTTTATTTTCAGAAATTGGTAAAAATTTAGAGGAACTGATAATATGGACGAAATATATCGAAATCCAAATGCCACTTAGTTCATTGAGATCGAACGAATACAACCGACGAAGAAAATGTGAAATCTTGGACAAATCCTACCTAAAGATATTTATTTCCTAATTGTTTTTTTTTTCGGAAGATACTAAATCGAAGAAACAAACAATGTGGGAAAAATACGTCGAAATCTAAAACGTCACTCGGTTTATTGAGATCAAAACAATAAGATAGAAAAAGGCAACCAAACAACAAATACAACAGACAAATAAAAAAGTGAAAGAATCCCAGATGAAAACTCTACCTAATAAGCAAAGTTAACAAATTCGATCATGCTCAATCTACATATGACGATAAACACATCGAACGAATCTCAAACACTAATTAAACAAAACAGTCCTAAAACAAAACTAGATAAAAAAATGTTGTAATAAAATAATAATTGCACACTTCAAACAAATCAAGAACAATGTAGCAAAGAAATCTTGAAAAAAATGAACTGACCATGTAATAATGCAGACAAGCTCCCCATTGGCATATAATCATAGACAAGAAGCTTCTCCTCTCTACTATAGTAATAAGCCCTAAGCGGTACCAAATTCTCGTGATCCATCGCTCCGACGCTTTCGATTTTCTCCTTGAAATCCTTATCCGATAAAGCCACGTCTTTCAACCTCTTCACAGCCACCACAATTCCCACTTCCAATACCGCCTTATATGCGGTTCCGAAAGTGCCCTTCCCCAAAACCTCGGCCGAAGCTCTCAGCAGCTCCTCCAAGTCGAAAACCCTAGGCGCATTTCCGAAAAACACCAGCTTCTTGGCGGCGGCGGCAGCATTGGCTCCGGTATCGCCCTTTGTGCTCGTGTTCGTGCTCATTGCGGCGGCGGCTGCAGCCGCCACCGAGAACCCGTTGGCAGCGTTCTCCGCCGGTTCCTTATCTCCGGCGGAGGCGGCAGCGGCGGCGGCGTCGTTCTCTTGGTTCTTGATTGCCGACGACACGTAGGCGGACCTGGCCTTGTTGCCGCTCCTCTTCCTGCAGAGAAAGAAGAGAACCAGGAGGAGTAGAATGAACCCTAGGACGGATCCAATCACAATTCCGGCGATTGCGCCGCCGGATAACTTCTTCTTCCCTGATTTTGCGGCGGTGTTGGGGTTTCCGTCGACGGAGGAGGCTGGGGTTTCGGCGGCATTGTCGGAGCAGACGTTGTCGAGGGGCTTCCCACAAAGAGAAGTTCCCAAGAAGGAATCTTTGGGTTTATTCTCGAGCCCTTCAGGCACAGACCCATTTAAGTTGTTGTAGGAAACATTAAATTGGTCGAGATTTGGGAGGTCGAAATCGGGTAATTCACCGCTGAACTGGTATTTTCCAGCAGAAGGGTACGGAGCCGGGTCAAATTGTGAACCCGGTTGGAATTTGGCCGAGAAGTTGTTGGAGG